ATATATATATATATACAGTCTGACTTACATGCACGCATGTATGTACATAGGTGTGTCTGTTCCGCCAGTGTCATGTGGAGATTGAAAGTTTGCCTCTGTGAAGGAATGCCTGCCCAGTCAGCCCTGCCGGATGTCGTCTCTATCAGTGCGGCCATGCTGGCGTGCATAGAAGGCGGGTGTTGGACAACTGCCCTCCAGCTCTTCGCGGACATGCCTACCCTGAGATCGACTCCAGATGTCCTCAGCTCATGATTGGTAAATTTGATGCTTTCGGGGTTCTGGAGTTTGGGGTTTATCGTTATTGAACCTCGGGCATCGGCTTCTTACAAAGCCCTAGACAGCCAGCAACACCCATCCGTCCCCAAACGAAGCTACTGTGCTGCCGTAGGCCGGTACAGTACATGACATCCTCAGGCTTCGGCCTACACCACGGCCATCTCGGCATCGGAGGCTGGAGGGATGTGGGCAGTCGCACTTCAGCTTCTGGCAGAGATGGCTGGATGTAGCTTGCCTTCACACAGCCCTTATGGTACGGACCACGACGCCGAAACACCGAAGAACAAACCCTGTAACTCACAGTTTTTTGCAACCCTAGACATGGAAGCCTAACCAGTTGCCAACATCATTCCTCAAGGTCCCCTACTATACGCGTAGCATAATCTACCACGAAACCTTGTTCTAACGAATACCCATATATTCTAGAGCCTTTTTAGTACATGGAAGCCCTTAATAGAGGAGCCCTCCAAGGAACTCTACTGTAGCTCTTAACGCTCCTATACTGGATCCGTGAATAGCTTTGAGAGGAACTCTTCAAGGAGCCCCGAAACCCTGCTCGAAATTCTAAAGCTAGCCCCGCTGAGCCCTATATGCCAATAGAATAGGGAGGTCTGAGTACTAATTGGCAAGAACATCCCTTTAATCGAAGCTCCTATACCGTTGTACTACATTGGAGTTCAACACCCCATTCTGGTCATTAAGGGCCCATCTATTCGTGTTTTGGAGTTTTCTGGAGCTTAACTTTAAACCCTAAAGCCTAAACCCTGAACCCCTAAACCCCTAAACCCCGACCCCAAATCCCTAAACCCTAAACCCTAAACCCTAAACGCTACAAGCCTAAACCCTAAACCGTATAACCCCTGAACCCTTTTCTTAGGTGCTTGGGGAGTTTGCAGGGTCCCGTGTCTAAGGCCAGAGAGCCCAATTAAGTAAGGAATAGACCTGAACCCCAAAGAACTTACGTACCCTTTTTAAGAACTCATGTAAAGAAATCATTATAGGGAACACTGAAAAGGTGGGTTCTTCAGGGTCCAGGTATACCTGTTCAGAATTATTAAGCCCCCTATAGTTCATTAAGGCGTATCCCTTAAACTAGGGGCCTGAATATTCGGGTTTTACGTAGATATGCCTCGCTCAAGGGGTGTTTGCCTTTCCTTGAGGCAGCTTAGTACCGGATACCGCTGCCTGCAGTGCCGGTATCAGTGCCTGTGAGCAAGGGGGCCAGTGGGAGGCAGCTGCCCGGATGCTGTTCCGATGTAGAATTTTGCGTTATCGCGGTTGGGTAGGTGTTCTTCAGGCTCTTTTGGGGAACTTACACTAAGTTCCTGACCCGGTACTTAAGAGATTAACTGGCGTACTCAGCCACTAAGATCTGTTGTCATTCCCTCTCTCTCAAACTATACGTGTCCGTCTGTACACATTTGTCTGACGCGGTATGTAGCTGGCTATGACCATTGTACACTTCGTTTGCTCATAATACTCAACTTACTCGTGGAGTTACGGAAAGGGAGCCCAAGGCCCGTGAAGGCTCCGATTTTTCCGGTAGATTCCTGAATTGAGGAGTATTGCGCTTGCTGGTAAGATCGCTGAAGCTTCAAGTTTGCCGAGGCTCTCCACCTCCTTACCGTGATGCCGACCCTGACTGCTCAGCCCAATGTGCTCCTCGTTTGGTATGGGGTTTAGGGTTTAAGGTTTAGGGTTTAGGGTTTAAGGTTTAAGGTTTAGGGTTTAGGGGATTAGGGGCACAGTTCGACATCCAAACACCAGCAGGACGTTCAAAGCCCGCTCACCAGGCCCTCAACCCTAAACCCTATAAACCCTAAACCCTACACCCTAAACCTCAACCCTAAACATCGTAAAACCTCAAGCCCCGTGTAGACCTCAAAGCTTCCACCTAAGCCCAAAATGCCCAAGCTGAGCCGACAAAGTTATATCCCTCCTCTTGCGGGTTTAGGGTTTAGGGTTTAGGGTTTATAAGGTGTAGGGTTTAGGGTTTAGGGTTTTGGGGCATGCTTAGCTGCTTTGGTGTGAAGCTGCAACCTTAAACCCATAACTCCGAAACTCTATAAACTTTAAGCGGGCAGCGCAAGCTGAGGATCTCTTACAGTGCGACCATCAGCGCCTGTGCCAAAGGCCGCCCCATTTCCGGCCCTAACCCGAAGGGGCCAAGTAACCGATAGTCATACTTTCCCAAATACTCACCTACATGCGACTATCCGAAACCCACATACCGATTTATTGGGACCTTTATCATGCTACTAGTAAGACTTGAAAGCCCCTTGAGGGTCTCGCTCGGGTGGTTTAGGGCTTCAAAGTTTTAGATTTAGGGTTTAGGGTATAGACCCCGAACTATAGACCCTGAAGCCCTCATGCTTACCTCTGCAGGTAGCCCAGCAATGACGTCGATGTAAAGCCCGGACTAAATAAGAACAGCCACTTCATAAAATTCTGAAAGGACCCTAGACCCTGAGCCGTAAACTTGGCCCTAAACCCTAAATCCTTAACCCTAAACCCTAAGCCCTAAACCCTAAACCCTAAACCCTTCATGAGTTTCTGTCATAAACTACGGTGATGTCGAAGCGAGCAGGACGGTGGGATCGGATCCGACTACATTTGTTTGATGAGGGCTTTAGGGTTTGGGGGTATAGGATCTAGGATCTAAGGCTTAATCTAAGGTCGGGGGTTCCGGTTTTGGTGTTCAGGGTGTAGGGTTTAGGGTTCGTTGGTTTAGGGTTCAGGGTGTAAAGTTTAGGGGTTAACGTTCGGGGTTGAGGGTTTGAGTCTGCTTGCCACGCTTGCAACAACTTCGGAATGGTCTCAGTCCTTTCAAGTCTGTCTCAGGTCATAAATGTTTTTTTTCCGGAAGATGTTTCAGGTTAAGCTGGTTGCGAGTTATCCTACTAGAAAGCTAGACAGAATCTCCAATATGTACCTGAATGACGGAATGCTCCGTAAATCACACCAGGCATCCGATCATGAATTAAGGCAAATTCACGTCTATTGCTTATGTTCAGGGATCTTCTTAAGCCCTGTAAAGCCCTTATAGAACCATTAGAGGAACCCTGATTTGCGGCATATTCCTGAAGCATGGGATGTTGGTCCACCGAACCCAGGTAGCTACAGATCTGGGCTTGGTTTAGGGTTTAAGGGGTTTGGGGCTTGGGGATTTCGTGAAGGTTTGGGGCTGATGGCTTAGGGCTTAGGGATTTTATGAGGGTTTAGGGTTTAGGGATTTTATGAGGGTTTAGGGCTTGGCGATTTTATGACGGTTCAGGGTTTAGGGGTGTTAAGGGGGTTTCGGGTTGAGGGCATTAGGGTGTTCAACGGGTCGTTTGGTTCGGGATGAGCCAAGCCGAAACCATTAACCTCACCAGGCAGACAATGGACGTTGGCTTTGGCCCTCTTCTCCGAGATGGAGCAGCATGCAGTTCGGGCTAACGATGTCAGCTACAATGCCGCCATCAGCGCCGTAGACGCTTTGACTCGATGGTTGGGTGGAGAAACATGTCTAGTGCAAGCGTTACATTAGTCAGGAGACTGAATGTGTATACCTTTGGTTGCCGCAAAACTTGCAACTTTAACCCCGCTAGAGCCTTTCAGTATGGAAGAAAAATGCATGCTGCTGGAGCTACAAATATCAAGATCATTCCGGTGATATTAGGCTTAATATTTGCATTTTGTGTCTTGAATGAAGTTGGACACACATCAATGTTGATGTGGACCGCTTCGTTCTCGCAAGAGCTGCGGTGTCCGGTGGTCGCTCTGTTGCCGAACATGAAACCTTGAATCCAAGGAGATGATTATCAAACTCTATTGTGAGGGAGCCTTAAACCGCCCAAGTCCTTCGGCACAGAACTGCACAGGGAGTATCTGTCTGGATGTCACCAAGCTCGGAACTGCATTACAGTATTGCCAATGTACTGGTATGCGTACTGGCCCAGCCAAGAATCCAAATGAAGTTCTAGTAAACACAATCCAACAGCATCATTTGGTCTTTAAGCCGCCTTGAAAGACCGACCCTAAACCCGAAACCCCGAGACCCCTGAATTCTTAAACTGTAGATTTAAGCCCTAAGCCCTAAACCCCTAGACCCCTCTGCTCAGGATGTTTGGGCTTAAGCTTTAGGGGTTTAGGGTTTAGGTTTCGGGGTTCAGGCTTTCGGGCTTAATAAGGTTTGGGTTCAGGGTTTAGGTTTCGGGGTTTAGCTTAATAAGCTTTAGGGTTCAAGGTTTAGGTTTCGGGGTTCAGGGTTTAGGGTTTAGGGCTTAAGGTTTAGGGTTCAGGGTTTAGGTTTCAGGCTGCAGGACCTGACCCGTATGAAAGCCCGAAGAAACCCTACCGCGTCGTAGAAGCCCGAAACCTCAGATCCTTTGTTTTATTGGTATTTACTCTAGATCCTGGAAAGGATACAGATCTCAAAGCCATAAATCCTGTATCGAAGCCCTGAACCTTACATCCCCGATAGATCCCCTAAGCCCCTCATGCAGCTCGTAAACCCAACAAACCCTGAACGACCACCTACCTTATCCCCCCTCCACCAGGGTTTGAAAACTACTCCACATGTATCGCGAAATCAGAATAAGCAGCCCGCAACAGCTAGAATTCTCAGGTTTCAGGTAGACCTTAAACCTAAAAATCCCCAAACCCTGAAACCCTAAGCCATATAGACCAAGGACAAGACTCCTCACTGGCAAGTGGCCCTTGAACTCCTGTCGTCAATGCAGAAGGCTGAGGCAGGGGCGCGTGGAAGATGTACATGCTTATACATATATATATATATATGTATATCTATACTGATACTGCACACACACACACACATATATATATATATATATATATGTATATGTATGTGCATGTACATAGACAGACATCAAGATATGCATAGATACATGCATGCATACTTACTCACCTACATACATACATGCATACATACAAACATGCATGCATACCTACACGCACACATACCTACATACATACCCTACATACATACATACATACATACATACATACATACATACGTACATACATACATACATACATACGTACATACATACAGACAGACAGACAGACAGACAGACAGACAGACAGACAGACACACATACCTTCTACAAGCGCATATATATATATATACATATGTTTCTCCTAGATACTGTATAAACTCATGAGAAGGGCAAGCG